GTCTAAAATGTCATCATTTTCCCATTTGAAATTGTGGTTGAATTTGTCTATGTCTATATGTCTTGAGAAAATAAGGAATATTCTTCATATCTTCTGTCAATTGATGTTCTTGGATTAGTTCTACCAATTTTGTACTTGTCCAACCGACAATGGCTGTTAAGTCCTTACATTGTATGTTTTAGATGCCTCCTGTTTTTATTTCTTTGATTACTGGGTCTTTGGCTTTGTTTGAGATGTTTTGAAGGGATTTGTTGATTTTTCTGCTACAATGATGCCAAAAGATTATAATAGTCTGTTGGTTGTCTCAGATGTCTTTGATGTACAGTATGGGAGAGTAATCTTTTTCATAGGTTGCAATAGGTTGTGTGGATAAGCACTTTTTAATGAAGTTCCGGGTATCCATTGAATTGCAAGGTGTTGTATAGGTAGTCTGCTTCCATATTTTGGATTATGGACTATTGCAGTGTCCTTTTCCTTGTCTGAATAATGCTTATATGCAGTTCCTCTTGAGGCAGTTCGGTTGTTGTTTTGGTTAATGTGAGTTGTTTTTCAGTATGCTTGGGCTCTTAGTCCACCGTTGTTTCCTCTGCTGACAAGGATATCCAGGAACGGCAGTTTTTGTTGTTGTCTTCTTCTCTTGTAAATGTTATACCTTTAAAGTTGTGGATTGTCTTGTGTGTCTTGCGTATCTAACTGTTCCTTTTTTTACTATGACAAAAGTATTGTCTAGGTAATGGAAACCATATTTTGGGCTGTATATATGGGAGTGCTATCAACAAGATCATTTATCTATGAGCTGAAAAGTACCAGTCCCAAAACCTATTCCTAGAGACCCCACTGTGCATATCTTGCCAGTGTAAGACTTGCATGTTTATTCATGCTGTTTCCTGTTTTTGACTAGATGCCAGTCCATGAGGGTGCCTATCCTTTTATCCTGTGGCAGCTGAGTTTGCTCAGGAGATGTTAGTGAGGAACCTTTGAAAAGCTTTTTGAAATTCAAGTATATGTCTGTTGAGTCACCCTTCTCGACGTGCTTGTTGACATTTTTGACAAGTCTAGAAAGTTAATGAGAAAAAAATTATCCTGTGTTGTCCCATTTTAGAAAGGCTTATTCTATATGGTTTCTATATTATCTTTAATAACACTCTCAACTATTTTTTTCAGAACTGATGTTAACCCCAACAGGCATGCAACTTTTATTAGCCCCTCAGTCCCCAACCACTTTCAACATGCAAATTCCTTTCCCTTGGTTTATATCAGTGATGGCGAACCTATGACATGCATGTCAAAGGTGACACACCACAACGTTGTGGGTGACACACCAGTGTTCACCAACACTCACCAACGATTATTCAGCCTGTTTGAGTTACTGAGTTTGCTTTACTTGTATTTCATTTTTGTAATTATTTGACGTTTCTTTATGTAATACATAGCACCACACATGATTGAACTGTATTTTTTAAAATAAATGAATATGTAAAGAATTGTTTCTCTTTTGTTTAGGGTGGGGGGTGACATGCCAGCAGAGTCAAGTTAGGCATTTTCCAAATTTTTGACACGCCGAGCCCAAAAGATTCACCTTCACTGGTTTATATTGTTCAAAAGCATAAAAGCACTTCTAGTCCACATTTTCTGGCTGTGATGCAAACCTTTCTATCTGATCCCTGAAAACGATATCAGCTTGTAGACAGACATGCTTGTTTCCTCATAACAGATGTGCTCTCTCTAAGAATAAGATGAAGTTATACTTTGTACACCCATTGTATGTTAGGAATACATTCAAAAATCCAAACATTGTTTTTGATTTTTCGTTACTTGAAAATAGGCCTTAATCTGTTCTTCCCCAACCTGCTGCTGGACTTCAACTCCCATAATTCCCATATAATTCCCAGTCAGCCTGGCCATTTGAAAGTATTGATTAGTTTCACCTGATCTAGTCTGGCGTTGAGCTTGATTGTTCATAATGGAAAAAAGAACACCATCCTCTTAATGGATTGCAGATCAATGAATTCACAGGCAAAGCTAACACACATAAATATCAAAATGATGTTTTATATTATGTATACTTCTCTGACCTATTATGTAGAGACTGAGTTTATTTAGAGTATTGATTGAAATAATGCACTGACATTTTTGTTTAGAGCACGTAGTGTGGATCCCCCTGGTGGACAGAAGTTTGAAACGATATACTTTGAAAGCCCAAGATTTTCATATATCGGGAAACAAAAAACTGATGAGGATCCATCTTTCCTATGGTTCTAAGGGGAAAGCAGGCTTAGTTTTACTTGCTCTGAGTCCAAAGTATTACCAAATAATGAATTTCAAAGGACTCAAAACTTGTTCACTTATTTATTCTAATAAAGATATTGCTTGTTTATGAATTTCAGAATTTCATGACAGATCAGTTGGCTTCTTTTATTTGGCACACTGAAATTTTTACTTAGATCATAGCTGGGAGAGAAGATTTAAATTTCACATTGCAATGAGTTCTGATAACTACACATTCTGAAAATTAGTATCTCTTCAAAACTTATACTAAGATTTTATGCTTCTTTAGGATGTGGTATCTGATTACGATAATTACTTAGCACCTCAGAGGATGCCTTACTTACTCCAATCCTCTATGTTTTTGCATAGAACAATTTTCCAGCATTTAGAAGTCATATAACATAACATAATAAAAACGTAGAATTGCTTCCAACGAGATGGGCGTTGACAAATTTGATATATAAATAAATAAATATAATTGGTTTTGAATTGTCAACAAGGTCTCCACTAACCCATAATAGGATTTGTAGGTATGGTTATGGGCTAGCATTATGTGTGAACACTTATGACTTATTCAACAAATTGCTGAAACAAATAATGGCTTAGTGTGATGTGGTGACTCACTGTGCATATATCAGTTCCGTACATGTGGGTAAGGAATTCAGAATGCAGAGTTCATGGCACAAAATATTATTAAAAAAAACCAAAATGGTAGCATAGACATTTAAGTGACTATGACATGTTTGGTTTCCACTAAGCCCTCATTCTTTCAACATCAATTGTACACTTGTCATAGGTGACTTTAAATTTGATTTTGTGATGTTGTGCATAACAAACATTGCCATAAAATGTTAGCATAAGCCTTGAGTGAATATAGCAGTATTATTTTCTGATACGTTAATACATGTTATACTATGGTGCCGGTGACAATGACAATATTCCACATACCTAGTATATAATATTTGAAAACCTGTAATGTGATTATTCAGAATTACACTATTACTATAATTCATAGTTAGTTAGAAATCATTACTGGTTGACAGAAATTGGGTTTGTATTTTAATTCCTGAGAAACTAAGTATACTTTATTTCAGTAATTATAATTCACATTCAGTGGAAAAGAGATATCTTTCATTCATACCGCAGTTCTCAGAATGGGTAAGTTTTAAACAGTAACAGCTAAGAAGGTTCTAGTTCAAATTTTGCTAACATCACTCATTGAAGTAGGCCATAATTTGTTTTAATTATAGTTTGTTGATTAAGCTGTCATAGTTTGGTTGACACAGTGCACTAAGCCAAAAACAAATGAACCACATGGTCTTAGCCCCAACCTCACTAGGTGGTTTCATATTCAGTCAGTTTGAATAATCTCTCCATTCCTGTGAAAAGTTTAGGAATTTGGAAATCAGTTAATACAAGAGAAAGATTGTATAAAAATGCAACATGAGTATATCCAATTAAAATATCTTCTGATTTCAAAATTTGTTCCAGATGCATAAGCAGCATCTTAAACTCCTGAAATACTATCAACATTGGATTATTCTAAATCTCCAGTATTTTTTTAGACAATTATAGCGTATTGTTAAGGTAAATATCAGTTATTTGTAAGAACTTTGGAATAAATTGTCAGAATACCCCTTATTAACAAATCAGTGGTTAAGACCTTATGATCTTACACCTCAAAGAACATATTAAAAGGGTTGGCTGTGAATTTCATTATGTTGGAAGTCTGAAACAATGGAGGGGAGACTTATATAAAAGATCTGTACAATAGCTTGCTGCACTATTGTTCTATTTTTATTTAATATCCATAAGTTTGCATATGTGGTTTTGGGAAGCACAATAGGGCTTAAAGATCTGCTTTTGAATTATATATCCAAAATTTGGAATGTATCATTATATGAAGAACTCTGAATGTATCAAGAGGGGTTAGGGAAGAAAAGATTTCTCTTTACAATAGAAGCACAGTGCCACCTTGGTTTTATAATCTTGGATTGTTGATATTTGTCCATTCTCTTCTTTATGAATGGGTTCTGTAGCAATTTAATAGAAAGCAATATTCTGTGTGATCAAGCTTTAAAAACTTAGATCTTTATATATGTCTCTTTTTTATTGTTTGCATATTTTTTCTCTTAGTATATTAAAACAATGCAGATTTTAAAAATGTTACAGATCATTTATTTAATATAAGTAAATTACTTTAAATAGTTGATTCACTTATGAATTCTAAGGGCATGATTTTGTCAAAGTAAGTTCTTGTGTTGGGCTACAACTCCTGGTATTCTCAACCAGCTTATCCAGTTGTCTTCAACAGAAAACGGGATTGTATTTTCAACTCTGCATGATATCGTTTATTAAATTGTGCTCTATTTAAACTTTTTTTATGACTCTGTTCTTTGTGTGTGTGTGTGTGTGTGTGTTTGTATGTAGATCAATGGATTAGTTTGTATTGGGAAGGATATATAAAATGATATCTGCAAATTGATTTTGTGTGTGTGTGTGTAGGAAATCAACTTGCAGATGTCAGTTTATTAAGAAAAGGGAATTGTCTGACTTTTCCTGGGTTGTGATTGAATGAAGTACGTGTTTTATTATCTTTGTTCCTCTTAAGAACAGGAAGTCTGAATTGGAAGGGGTGAAATGAGTTGTAATTTTAAGTGATTCATCTTGTCCATTCTTTTATTTCTACATCTCTTCCACTTACTGATGTCATACTACTTTTGTCCTTCAAGCTAATTGACACAATTGCTTCAGAAATCGGAGAGCTGAAACAGGAAATGGTACACACAGATCTGGCATTGGACGATGGACGCACCAGTTTACCAAGGTGAATTAAAATTCTCTATCACTGGACTTGTTTGGTGGGCTAATGTATGGATGTGTGGTGTTAATCAGGAAGGTGTTATTTGCAGTATCTATTGTTTGTAGTTCTAAAGTATGAAAAATATTTGGGTTTTGGATGAGCTTTCAAGCAGTTTGCTTTGGCAATAGCTAGCAATGTAATGGTATACTTCTATGTTTCTTTTTTTTATGCTGCGTTCCTAGCTTCCTATAAAAAGTGATAGATTCTTTTGATCCAAATTCCACAATTGAAGAATACATTTATCAGCATGTGGATTCTTTAAGAAAAGAATATAGAAACTGATCTTTCTTTCAGGTTTAATTGTTGAAAGGTTTTTATTTAAAATGGGCTAAAGTTTCAGCATTAGAAAAACGATTTTCTACTGAAAAGCACTGAAGAGTGCTAGGTCATTTGGTTTCAACATAGGAAAATGTATGTGTAAAAATTATAATTCAGTTTATATCAGTTCTGTGCTTCAATTTGTCTTTAAGCTTTGTTGATTTTAGTTGAATTTACTGAACTGAAAATAACTTGTAATTTTCAAATGAAATGTTATCTCTCCACCTTGTGTTTGTGTGCGTGAGACTGCTGGCAATGTATTCTACTAGCGAATTACAGCATAGTCAATGGGGAGACTTTGGGTGTATAAAACCTGAGCCTGCTGATATGGCATAAGTGATAGAACCACTAAGACAGTGTGGAAATTATTAATGACTCCTAGCTCATCCACAAGATTCCTTAATGCTATAGCAAACCAAACCTGGGGATGTGGAAACAGAGTTGCAATCATTTCTCCTAAGACTTTTGCGTTAATTAGGTATCATGTCTGGTGGTTGTTGAATTCTATGTGTCTGTATCATTTAGTAAATCAAGATAAGATTTGGATTCAGCTGATGTACCATCTACCCTGTTGTGCAAGGGTCTTCTGTTAATTTATAGAGATGATCTTGGACATGGCATTGAAGCATTCTAGGCTTCCTAATTTAGAGGAATAAGAGAAACATCCATACTAAAATTCTTATAAGGTGTGACTCCTCATATAAACGAGTGAAAATCATGGACCTGTCTCAGTTAATATCATGTATAGTAGGGCACATGTTGACCTTGGCGTTTTTTGCTAGACCCTGATGATGGGATCTGGAGCAGGAAACTTTATGATAATCCCGATGTCATAAAAAAAAATCATTACCTCAAAGTATGGTAATTGTTGACATATATGATCTGTAAAGAAATGGAGGTGTTGAAGATTTTGGATCCAAATGGCTCTCAGGGATTTTCCAGTTATTAAAATTCTAGCAAAGCTCTAACTATTTCTATGCTTTTGAAGGAATTTATTTATTTATTTATTTATTTCGAATTTGTCACTGCCCATCAGGGCAAGGAAATAACATAAACTATTGTTAGAGTTATCATGAAGGAAGACTCATGATAAATCTGATTGAACATGAGTTGGATCTCATTTTGCAGACTACTGAGTTAAAAAAAAATTTATACCTTGGCCCATGTAGAAGAGCTCTCAATAGCCTTTTTTGACTGATATGCAGGTATATCCAATCGTAATAATCACAGCTGGATTCCAGGTTGATTCTGAATCTTTTTATGTATCTGAAACATTTGCATGTTCTGTTGTAATGGATATTTTTCTGGATGTGGACAAGGTCCTTCAAACTCATTACTTAAGTCTTGATCCTTGTCCATCTGCAAATTAAAGTTGCCAGAGGATGGCTGATTTCAAGGATAGAAATGATAAATGGGTTCTTACAGGATGGAAGGATTCCTGGAATACTGAGGAAGGCTAATTATTGGTTAAGATCTGTTCTTAATATTTATTCTATGCTCCCTTTTTGGAGTAGTTAAGATCTGTTCTTAATATTTATTCTATGCTCCCTTTTTGGAGTAGTGGACAACATGCTCAAGCAAGTGGTGGAAACTCAGCTCCAGATGGTCTTGAATGACATTGAGAATGTAATTAAATGAGATATTATTTTGACCCATTCCAGTTTGGGTTCTAGTCTGATTTGGGGATTGAAATGGGTGGGTGGGTGGAGTGGGTTTTGTATTTGGGATTTTTATTCTTGTAAGCTGCCTGGAGTCACTGAATGAGTTGGGCAGCTATATAAATTGCTTAAATAAATAAAATTTCCTTTATAGGTGATCAAAACTAGGAAATGGACAAAGGAAAAGTGCCATGGCTGTTTCTGATGCATACCTGGCAGATTTTACTACAGTGTTGATCTTTTTGAACAAAGTAGTTCTGTTCTGTTCTGATTTGGTTCTGCCTGAAGAGCAGACTCCAGTAGGTGGTGCTAGAAGACTCCTGTCTGGTATCTGAACATTTGTTCTATGCAGTATCATAAAGTTCTATCTTGTTCATGCTTTTTTCAACTTTTACAAAAGCATATGTACAATGCTTTTAGTATGTAGGCGATACCCATTCCTATTTATCTTTCCAATTAAAATCCAGGGCCAGAAAAATACTTTAATCACTGTCCTAAGGCTACATTGCCTGGCCCTGAGCTGAGTGAAATGGAATCCAGACAAGAAAAGTATGTTGACTGGTAGGAAAGAGAGCTGATCTGAGATTAGGTACTCAACTGTATGGAAAAACATGTTCACTCAAGAGTCAGCTGTGCTGTTTGTGTATTTACTGTCTTTTGTGCACCTGGTGGCCACAAGTTTCTATCCACGGTTTAAGATCTATAGAATGGGCAGTTCTTCATGTATCATCATTATCAAAAATATCTGCAGTGTATCTAGAGTGTATCTGGAGAGATGGAGTGAGAGCGAGATGAAGATAATCCTTTTGCCTCCATATGCTTCTTTGTTCCAGCTACTCTCATAAGGCTAATTCTAATTTCAGAATGGACATGCCCCAGGAGAAAAGTTGAGGAAAGAAGGAAAGAGCCTTCTTGTATGTGCTTGTCCATCAGTGTGGATAAATCTGACTCAAGAGGATTTACACTTCATGAATGAGAACTCTGCTATCTCTGTATGCATTTGCAAAATAAAGAAGGAATTTCAAAATCTTCTAAAAAAACAAAATAGGGATAATGTAGGATCAGTCATTTGCTGGGAACAGATATCAGAAAGCAAGATTGCCCATGGTCAGTAGGGATTATGGAGAGAGAAGAACTTCCATTATTCATGAGCTGATTATTTTTCTTAATTTACTTGATAAACTCGTTGGCCACCTCAAGGTAATTCTAAGTGGTTTAC